CCAGCTACTCGGGAGGCTGAGGCAGGAGAATTGCCTGAACCCAGGAGGCAGAGGTTGCACTGAGCAGAGATTGTGCCACTGCACTCCATCCTGGCGCCTCGCGACAGGGCAAGACTCTGTCTCAAAAATAAATAAATAAATAAATAAGGTTTTTGTTTGTTTGTTTGTTTTTGAGACAGAGTTTCGCTCTTGTTACCCAGGCTGCAGTGCAATGGTGCGATCTCGGCTCCCTGCAACCTCCGCCTCCTGGGTTCAAGCAATTCTCCTGCCTCAGCCTCCTGAATAGCTGGGATTACAGGCGCGTGCCACCATGCCCAGCTAATTTTTGTTATTTTTAGTAGAGACGGGGTTTCACCTTGTTGACCAGGATGGTCTCGACCTCTTGACCTCGTGATCCACCCGCCTCAGCCTCCCAAAATGCTGGGATTATAGGCGTGAGCCACCGCGCCCGGCCTGGCTAATTTCTCATTGGCAAAAGAATGGACCTTGTGGCCCAGATACAGTGGCTCATACCTGTCACCCCAGCACTTTGGGAGACCAAGGCAGGTGGATCACCTGAGGTTGGAAGTTCGAGACCAGCCTGACCAACATGGAGAAACCCCATCTCTACTAAAAATAGAAAATTAGCCAGGTATAGTGGCACATCCTGTAATCCCACCTACTCGGGAGGCTGAGGCAGGAGAATTGCTTGAACCCAGGAGGCAGAGGTTGCGGTGAGCCATGATTGCACCATTGCATTCGAGCATGGGCAACAAGAGTGAAACTCTGTCTTAATAGAAAATTTGTTTAATTACATCCTAAAGCTGCCCCCTTTCCTGTTCAATTATGGTCAATGGGTGTTTTTTTGTTTTGTTTTGTTTTTTTGACATAGTAAAACGCAAGCTAACTGGATATTTAAATAGACTGTAACTTGTTGTACCAAACACTGTGTTTTTGCCAATAAAATAACATCAAGTAGTCAAACCATGTTCAAACAGAGTAAATCCCAAGCCATAGTTAATCTTGCTGTTTCTGTACCTTACGTCCATTTTCTGTATGTGTTTTTGCTTTTATGTTAATAAATCTGTTTTCATCATGTGGCTGCTCTGGAGTCTCTCTTACCCTGCTCTGGATTCACAGGCTGCCCAATTTGCAAAGTATTTTCTGCTCAAAGAAACTCTATTAAATAAATATAATTTCTCTAAAGTTTTCTTTTTTCTTTAGGCCAAGTGTGGTGGCTCGGCACTCTGGGAGGCTGAGGTGAGTGGATCATGAGGTCAGGTGTTGGAGACCAGCCTGGCCAATGTTATGAAACCCCGTCTCTACCAAAAATACAAAAAAATTAGCTGGGCATAGTGGCACATGCCTGTAATTCCAGCTACTCTGGAGGCTGAGGCAAGAGAATTACTGAACCTGGGAGGCAGAGGGTGCAGTGAGCTGATATCAGGCCACAGCACTCCAGTCAGGGTAACAGAGCAAGACTCTGTATCGAATAAAAGAAGAAAAAAACAAGACCTTTTCTTTTAAAAGTTTTTATTTATTTATTTCGAGACAGAATATCATTCTGTCGCCAGGCGACAGACAGTCTGGAGTGCACTGGTGCGATCTCAGCTCACTGCAACCTCCGCCTCCCAGGTTCAAACAATTCTCCTGCCTCAGCCTCCACAGTAGCTAGGACTACCGGCATATGCCAACACGCCCAGGTAATTCTTGTATTTTTAGTAGAGACGGGGTGTCACCTTATTGGCCAGGATGGTCTTGATCCCTTGACCTCGTGATCTGCCCACCTCAGCCTCCCAAAGTGCTGGGATTACAGGTGTGAACCACTGCACCCGGCAAAAGTTTTTTTTTTTTTTTATGATGAAAAATAAATAGTATGTTGTTGGGCTTCGATTTCCTAAACTCATCCCTCAGATATTTTCTTAAATTATTCTGTCTTTTTTTTTTTTCAGATGGAGTTTCTCTCTTGTTACCCAGGCTGGAGTGCAATGGCGTGATCTCGACTCACCGCAACCTCCGCCTCCTGGGTTCAGGCAATTCTCCTGCCTCAGCCTCTTGAGTAGCTGGGATTACAGGCACGCGCCACCATGCCCAGCTAATTTTTTCTATTTCTGGTAGAGACGGGGTTTCACCTTGTTGACCAGGATGGTCTCGATCTCTTGACCTCGTGATCCACCTGCCTCGGCCTCCCAAAGTGCTGGGATTACAGGCTTGAGCCACTGTGCCCAGCTATTCTATGTCTTTTTAAAATGATTCTCTAATTTCTTTTTTTTTTCTCTCTCTCCTTCTTTGGAGACAGAACCTCACTCTATCACCCAGTCTTGATTGCAGCCTTGACCTTCCATGTTCAAGCAATCCTCCTGCCTCTGCCACCTAAGTAGCTTAGACTACAGACATGCACCACCATGGCTGGCTATTTATTTTAATCTAATTTAATTTAATTAATTTATTTATTTTTAAAGAGATGGGCTTTCATTATGTTGGCCAGGATGGTCTTGATCTCTTGATCTTGTCATCTGCCCTCCTTGGCCTCCCAAAGTGCTGGGGTTACAGGCGTGAGCCACTGTGCCTGGCCTTTATTTTTATTTTTCAAGAAAACAGCATCTGATTATGTCGCCCAGGCTGCACTGGAACTCCTGAGCTCACCTAATTCTCCCATCTGAGCCTACCAAAGTGCTCTAAATACAGATGTGAGCCAGCTTGTGCTTCTGCAATTTCTTGAGATGATCATTTCCAATGATAAACAGTACTACATGAACACAAATCTGAAAGGAATCTGGCTTCTTCTGTAGAAATGTCACTCTCCAGGATTTCAAGGGTCTAGGGCAGGGCAGCCACTTTAGTAGTGTTATCTATGGAGGTGCACGGGCTTTGGTGTCAGAGTTAACCCTGAGCCTCAGCCCAGACACTTAGTATCTGTGGGTCTTTGCATAAGTTTCCTGATGTGGAAGAGTTCTAAGGTAGAATGATACTGATTGCAAAATGGTGACAATTTTTTATCCCTCCTGTATCCATGCCATTGCCAGGTGCTGTTACAGCTGCTTCGATCAAAATCCAGATTCTGTTTTCCAAACCCTAGATCTGACTGGCCTTATTTGTTCAGGATAGTAGAAAACTATGAACATGACAGTGAGCTAATTTGGGGCCCGGGCACAAATGGTCTTGAATGTTTCTGTTTTTCAGAATGCTGCCATCTCCATGAATAAAACCCATGTTATCCAGCTGGAAAATAAGATACCATGGGGAGAAGAAGCAAGGTGCCCCTGTTGACAGCCCCAGAAGCGGGAGATTACCCCCAGAAGCACAGCTGGCTAATCAACAAGCAGCTGATAATACATGTCTCAAGGAGCTCAGCTGAGACAAGAATTGCCTCACTCAGCTCAGCTTGAATGGCTGACCATCTCAATTATGAACTAGTAAGTTTGTATGATTTCTTATACTTCAATAGCTAACTAATACATGCACCCAGTGCAGAAAAAATGCCAGGCTTCAACGACAGGTTGATTACTAGTTACCTTCTAACAGTGGGCACCCTGTAGGTACTGATGTTTTCCCCTGAATTAAAGTTGGATGTCTTGTAAGAGAACGTTGAGTAATGCAGAAATACAGGTAGCCATGTATGCATGTGATTGCTGCTTGTACTCACACGGTCCCCCACACCACAGACGAGAACAGATAACCGCAGCCTGACCATTTGGGCCAAGGCCGAATAACAAAATAAGTTTGCCTTTAATCTATTTTCTACATAGCTAAACATTGGAGGTCAAGAGCATGGACAGAACTGAAGACATAGAGTTTTATTCTCCTGTGGCACCATCATCCTCTGTTCTCTGTCTGATCTATGGTGAGCAACAGGTGGCCAGCAGTGGTGTCCTTGCGGTTATTTTATTTTATTTTTTGTATTTTTTTTGCTTGTGGTTATTTTATTCTTGCTGCCCTCAGCTCTTTCTATGGTCACTATGTGTTCCACCCTCAGACCTGAAGAGAGATGTTGGTAGGGAGAGGCTCTGCTTCACCTCTGGCAGAAAAGGTCTGCTGGGGCCCTTCGCCTCCCTGACATCAGAGCTGCAGTTCAATGTGGCAGCCATTGGCCATGTGTGGCTCCTGGGTGCCTGGAATGGGCCTAGTCTGAACTGCCATGTGCTAGAAAAGTAAAATACAGAGTTAGTTTCAAAGATTTAATTCCAAATATTTATATACTTTATTAATGATTACACATTTCTTGGCTGGGCGTGGTGGCTCACGCCTATAATCCCAGCACTTTGGGAGGCTGAGGCAGGTGGATCACGAGGTCAAGAGATCGAGACCATCCTGGTCAACATGGTGTACCCCGTCTCTACTAAAAATACAAAAATTAGCTGGGCATGGTGGTGCATGCCTGTAGTCCCAGCTACTCGGGAGTCTGAGGCAGAAGAACTCCTCGAACCCAGAAGGCGGAGGTTGTGGTGAGCCGAGATCGTGCCATTGCACTCCAGTCTGGGTAACAACAGCAAAACTCCATCTCAAAAAAAAAAAAAAAAAATAATAATAATTAGACATTTCTCACACATTAAAATGATAATATTATGGACATATTGGGTTAACTAAATTGTTACAATGAATTCAACCTGTTCTTTGTTCCTTCTTAAACTTTGGATATTAGAAAGTTTAAAATTCACCTGTGGCTCACATTTTATTTCAGAGGATTGCCTCTCTTCTAAAATCTCAGCCTTACTGCTCAAAAACCAGAAGCTGGGAGGGTCATAAAATCTAAAATTTTAAAATAATTGTTATTATATTCTTTTCATTTGTAAATAGCCATATAGAATATTATTTATAGATGCATATAACTTTACACACAAGCTTAAAGGCTAATATCCTCTGTGGTGGGCCGGGCTCAGCTTTGGAAGGAAGCCCTGCCTGAGAAGGCTGCAGCCTAGGCACCTTTTCTTCACTCATCCAGCATCTGATTGAATCTTCTGTCACTCAGGGCCTGAGAGGGTGGGGTTTTAAACGTTATCCAATTAGCGACGCTGAGCTGGAACCGACCAATCAGGCACGCAGCTGGAGCAGGCAGGAAGGCTTCCGGGATGTGGCGGGGCCTTTATCTCTCGCTTCTGGAGCTTCAAGTCTCGTCTTTACTCCTCTGTGTCCTCTACTCTTAGAGGTCTATTCTCTGTGGCCCTGTGACCTGCAGGTATTGGGAGCTGGGACCCCCTGGAAGCCTAGAAATGGTGAGAGTGCCGGGTGGAAACTCCAGAGAAAGGGAAAGGGGCTAGTTGAAACCGGTGGGAAGTGGCTGTTGGGGGGACTCAGGCCTCCCTGTTGTCAGCTCCACAATCAGCTCGGCCTCAGTCCCCTTCAGCCATAAGATGGCGGCTGCTCTGACCGCCAGCCCCGGACGTCCTGTCTCTTCCCTGTACAGTGACTGCCCTGGCTTGGAGCCCTCCCTGGGCGGCTCTGCAGCCGCAGCGTCGCGTCTCTCCCAGTTTGTGCGGGGACCAAGAGAGGGTCGTCGGGGGGAATCCGGACTCTGGGTGCGGGTTCCGAGTGTGAAGAGCTTTGGTCCGTGGGGTTCCGAGCTCCTCTTTTCTTCTGTTCAAAATGTATGGGAGTCACCCTAAAAATAATCAGAGTGATTCAAAAATTGTCAAGCACCCAGCTGTGGTTTGTAATGTGTGTTTCATGGGCGGGGACTGAAGGAAAGACTGTTACAAACTGCGTGATGAAGAAAACCAAATTCAGGAATTGGTTAGATACAGTTATGTGGTTTCTTCATTTGTAATATAAGGGGGAAAATTTAATGGTTAATTGGCAGTTCGTAGTTGATTAAGGCTGGATTTTGTTTCTTTTAATGTAGTAATTTACTAAAAAATGCACTTCAGTTAGTTTTTTTAAAAGTAGAAATCCGGGGACTGAAGACACCTCAGTTGACCTGCCTGCGGCTTGTTTTTGGACTCCACAGGGAACTGATTTTCTTTTCTTTTCTTTTTTTTTTTTGAGACGGAGTTTCGCTCTTGTTACCCAGGCTGGAGTGCAATGGCGCTATCTTGGCTCACCGCAACCTCCACCTCCTGGGTTCAGGCAATTCTCCTGCCTCAGCCTCCTGAGTAGCTGGGATTACAGGCACTCGCCACCATGCCCAGCTAACTTTTTGTATTTTTAGTAGAGACGGAGTTTCACCATTTTGACCAGGATGGTCTCAAACTCATGACCTCCAGTGATCTGCCGGCTTTGGCCTCCGGAAGTGCTGGGATTACTGTGCCGGCCTGGTATCGACTTTCTAATAACAGCCATGCTGACTGGTGTGAGATGGTGTCTCACTGTGGCTTTTTCTTTTTTTCTTTTCTCTAGGAATTAGTGGTAAGCATGTTTTACACATGCTTGTTAGCCACATGTTTGTCTTTCTTTTGAAAAACATCTGTTCATGTTTTATGCTTTTTAATAAAGTTTTTTGTTTTGTTTTGCAGACTTCTTTATGAATTGTGGATGTTAAACCTTTGTCAGGAACATAGTTTGCAATTATTTTTATTTGGTATGTGATCTGTTTACTCCATTGATAGTTTCCTTTGCTGTGAAGAAGCTTTTTAGTTTAATTAGGCTCCATTTGTCAATTTTTGCTTTTGTTGCAATTCCTTTTGTTATCTTCCTCAGAAAATCTTTTCCCGTTCCTATGCTTAGAAGGGTATTTTCTTGGTTATTTATCTTCCAGATTTTAAAAATAATGTTAAGTTTTGCATTTACGTCTTTATCTTCATTTAATTTATATATATATTATCAGGGAGGAAACAATTTCAATCTTCTACATAGTGCTAGCTAGCTATTCCAGCACATTTATTAACTAGGGAATTCTTCTCACATTCCTCTTGTCAGATTTGTCAATGATCAGATGGTTGGAGGTGTGTGGCATTATTTCTGGGCTCTCTATTCTCTGCTCATAGACTATTTGTCTATGGGTCTGTTTTTGTGCCAGTACCATGCTGCTTTGGTTACCGTAGCCCTCTAGTGAGTGTGGTTTGAAGTGGGGTAATGTAATGCCTCCAGCTTTGTTCTTCTTGTTTAAAATCGCCTTGGCTATTCAGGCTCATTTTGGCTCCATATAAATTTTAAAGTAGTTATTTTTTAGTTTTGTTAACACTGATTCTGGTAGTTTGATAGAAATAGCAATAAATTGGTAAATGCCTTTGGGCAGTTTGGCCATTTTAATAATACTGATATTTTCTATCTTTGAGCATAAATGTTTGCTTTTTTTTTTTTTCATCTGTTTGCATCGTCTCTGACTTCTTCAAGCAGCGTTTTGTCATTCTTGTCATAGAGATCTTTCACCTCCTTAGTTAGCTGTATTCATGGTCTATTCATTTGTGGTAATTTTGAATAAGATTATGTTTTTGATTTGGCTTTTGGCCTGGATGCTGTTGATGAACAGGGATGCTACTTCTTTATTAGTTATTTTTTTGAGATAGAATCTCACTCTGTTGCCTGGGCATGAGTTCAGTGGCGATCTTGGCTCCCTGAAACCTCCGCCTCAGGGATGCTACTTACTTGGCATCTTGAAACTTTGCTGAAGTTGTTTATCAGTTTAAAGAGCTATTCTGCTGAGACTATAGGGTTTTGAAGATACAGAATCTTTTCATCTGCACAAAGGGATAGTTTGACTTCCTCTCTTCCTAGTGGATGTGTTTTATTTTCTTTTTTTTTTTTTGAGACGGGGTTTCGCTCTTGTTACCCAGGCTGGAGTGCAATGGCGCGATCTCGGCTCACGCAACCTTCGCCTCCTGGGTTCAAGCAATTCTCCTGCCTCAGCCTCCCAAGTAGCTGGGACTACAGGCTGCGCCACCATGCCCAGCTAATTTTTTTGTATTTTTAGTAGAGACGGGGTTTCACCATGTTGACCATGATGGTTGATCTCTTGACCTCGTGATCCACCCGCCTCGGCCTCCCAAAGTGCTGGGATTACAGGCATGAGCCACTGTGCCCAGCTTGGATGCCTTTTATTTTCATCTTTTCCCTGATTGCTCTGGCCAGGACTTCCAATCGTATGCTGAATAGGAGTTTTGAGAGCAGACATCCTTGTCTTGTGCCAGTTTTCAAGGAGAAAATGCTTCCAGCTTGTGTACGTTCAATATTTTGGTTGTAAGTTTGTCATAGATGACTGATTATTTTGAAGTATGTACCCTTAATGCCTAGTTTGTTGAGGGTTTTAAACATGAAGGATGTTAAATTTTATTGAAAGCTTTTTTTTTAGCATCTATTAAGATAATATTATGGTTTTCTTTTTAGTTCTGTTATGTGATGAATTACATTTATTAATTTTTGTATGTTGAAACAATCTCGCATCTCAGAGATGCAGTCTACTTGATCACACTGGATGAGCTTTTTCATATTCTTGTGGATTTGGTTTGCCGGTATTTTGTTGAGAATATTTTCTTCAGTGTTCCTCAAGGATATTGGCCTGAAGTTTTTTGTTTTTCCTCTCTGCCAGGTTTTGGTATCAGAATGATGCTATTCTTGATGGGTGCGGTGGCTCACGCCTGTAATCCCAGCACTTGGGGAGGCGGAGGCGGAGGCGGAGGCGGAGGTGGAGGCGGAGGCGGAGGCGGGTGGATCACGAGGTCAAGAGATCGAGACCATCCTGGTCAACATGGTGAAACCCCGTCTCTACTAAAAATATAAAAAATTAGCTGGGCGTGGTGACGCGTGCCTGTAATCCCAGCTACTCAGGAGGCTGAGGCAGGAGAATTGCCTGAACCCAGAAGGCGGAGATTGCGGTGAGCCGAGATTGCGCCATTGCTCTCCAGCCTGGGTAACAAGAGCGAAACTCTGTCTCAAAAAAAAAAAAAAGTGATACCTGCTCTCTAAAGTGATAAAGAAAGACTACTTTAAGTTGTTATTAAACATTACAGAACATAGAAGACACTGCATTTTTTTTTGTTTTTTTTTTTTTTGCCCCCCTAACCCTTAATACTAGATCTTGAACTCTGCATGAAACTGATTTCTCTTTATGGTTAAATTCAGACTATAATTTACCTTTTTTTTTTTGAGACGGAGTTTCGCTCTTGTTACCCAGGCTGGAGTGCAATGGCGTGATCTCGGCTCACTGCAACCTCCGCCTCCTGGGTTCAGGCAATTCTCCTGCCTCAGCCTCCTGAGTAGCTGGGATTACAGGCACGCGCCACCACACCCAGGTAATTTTTTCTATCTTTAGTAGAGACGGGGTTTCACCATGTTGACCGGGATGGTCTTGATCTCTTGCCCTCGTGATCCACCCGCCTCAGCCTCCCAAAGTGCTGCGATTACAGGTGTGAGCCACCGCGCCCGGCAAGTATAATTTACTTTTTTAGGGGCAATATCTCAGCAGTGATGTTGTGTTCTTCTCTGTGCATCAGCACATCATCAAACGTTGTCCTAGTGCAGTTCATTTTAAAATTGACTTAAAGAGCTCTGAAATATTTATTTCACTATAGAGTTACTTATTTTTCTTCTCATTATTAACTATCTTTATTTATGTAGATAAAGAAGAGCTGTGCATAAACTATCACATTTAATCCGGTAGCTGCCTTTTTTTCATAGGTTTTCTTTTTATTATCTCAGTCTTTAGAAAATGAAGAGTCTTTTGTTCTTTGTTTACAGATCAAAAAACTGGATAAAACACAGGCTTTTCCACTTACTGGATGTTTGGGAAAATATTCTTTTTGGGCCAAGCAGATTGGTATTGCTAGTGAGATTGTTAAAAATTCAGAGACTCAGACTTTATTTCGTGTCTTCTTAAAAAAAAATCTGCACAAGATCTTCAGTTTATTTTACATATTAAAATTTAAGAGGTGGTTTTTAAATTTTTTTTATTTTTAGATTGAGTCTTGCTTTGTCACCCAGGCTGGGGTGCAGTGTTGAGTAGCTGGGACTACAGCCACTTGCCACCATGCCTGCTAATTTTTTTGTATTTTTAGTAGAGACGCTTTTTTTTTTTTTTTGAGACGGAGTTTTGCTCTTGTTACCCAGGTTGGAGTGTAGTGGCGCGATCTCGGCTCACCGCAACCTCCGCCTCCTGAGTTCAAGCAATTTTCCTGCCTCAGCCTCCTGAATAGCTGGGACTACAGCCGCGCGCCACGATGCTTAGCTAATTTTTTGTATTTTTAGTAGAGACGGGGTTTCACCTTGTTGACCAGGATGGTCCCGATCTCTTGACCTCGTCATCCACCCGCCTCGGCCTCCGGAAGTGCTTGGATTATAGGCATGAGCCATCGCGCCCGGCCGAGACAGGGTTTCATAATGCTGGCCAGTCTAGTCTCGAACTCTTGACCTCATGATCCGCCTGCCTTGGTCCCCAAAGTGCTGGGATTACAGGCATGAGCCACCTCACCGAGTCTTAAGAGGTGCCTTATAACTCAACATGTCTTTTTAGTTTGAAGCGTATGGACAGTTCATTCTTTGTGGTGCAAATACAGAACTAAAAATGTACGTTTGTGTTTATGCCTTTAGTTTTATACATTATTATTCATGAAAGTAGCATTCATATATGTATACATACACACTGGCTTTGTGAAGCTTATACCAGTCTCTTCTCTCAGAGTTAGAGAATACATTAGAGAATATTTTTTTGTTAAAAATTGTTAGATAATTTCATTCATTCCTATGAGTCTGAACCAATTTTCTTTACTCTCTTATTTAACCTTAAATGATAAATTCTGCCCATGGACACTTGGAAATCTGTGTGTGTGTGCATGTGTGTGTGTTTGTGTTTTTCAGGGGCCGTTGACGTTTAGGGATGTGGCCATAGAATTCTCTCTGGAGGAGTGGCAATGCCTGGACACTGCTCAGCAGGATTTGTATAGAAAAGTGATGTTAGAGAACTACAGGAACCTGGTCTTCTTGGGTGAGAATAACTTTAATACACAATTCCTCATATACCCTAAAGGTTTCATTTCTCTATTTTTATATAATAATTTTTGGTAATTTATGCTTTCCATAAATTAATTTCTAATCCCTGTTTTCAAAAAGTCTTGAGGAATTGTTCATGTAGAAAAAAACTTCTTCGAGATGGTTTATCTTGCCCTGAACCTTTTACATTCCTGAGTTGGTCTGTATCCTTCACTGCAGAGGAGTAATAATTTCAGAAATTTCGTGGTATAAAATATTGTCGCCCCCATGTAAAAATCGGCTTGCCACCACTACTTTTTGACTCATAAGTACTTGCTAGTGACATTAAGAACCTACTAGTTTAAAATATTTTCTAAATGTTAAGAACTTTCTGTCATTAAATAGTATTTTGGGATTATTTTCTAGAATATTCTATGACATCTCTTTACTAAGCACGGTAGAGGTTGGTAATTAGAGAATCTGAGAAAGATTCATGTAATTTATTTTTATAAAGCAGGTATTGCTGTCTCTAAGGCAGATCTGATCACCTGTCTGCAGCAAGGAAAAGATCCCTGGAATATGAAGAGACACAGTATGGCAGCCACACCCCCAGGTAGGTGAGAGTAAATAAAACAGTTGACATAGTTGAAAAGTTGGAAGATAAAAAAAAGAAAAAAGCCAGCCAGTCCCTACAGTGTGATTTGGGAAGCTGTGTTCCAAAGCAAATAGTTTCTGGGAAGCCTGAGGTGTTTGCTTGTTTTGTTGTTGTTCTCACATAGGGCCATCTTCTCTCTTATGCTTTCAAATTCTCGAATGAGTCTACTTTTGCTACATTGATCTTCCTTCAACTTCACAGTGAGAGCCAAAATCCTGTTCATGGCATATAAAACACTATACAATCTGACTGCTTTCTTATCATTTTGTGGTATCATAGAGATATCTGCATGATTTTGAGAAACTTTATTTTTTAGTTCTCTTTTTGTATGATGTCTAAATGGTGTACTCATAGTGGTCTGGTTTTTTTTGTTTTGTTTTGTTTTGTTTTTGAGACGAAGTCTCCCTCTGTCACCCAGGCTGGAGTGCAGCAAAGCAACCTCAGCTCACCATAGCTTTTGCCTCCTAGGTTCAAGAGATTCTTCTGCCTAAGCCTCTCAAGTAGCTGGGATTACAGGCATGTGCCGCAATGTTTGGCTGATTTTGTATTTTTAATAGATGGGGTTTTTCCATGTTGATCAGGTCGGTCTTGAACTCCTGACCTCAGGTGATCCACCCACCTCGGCCTCCCAAATTGCTGGAATTACAGCATAAGCCACCATGCCCAGCCTCTATGGGTTTTTATGTTAATTTTCTGCACATTCCATCCGGTTTTTATTACTATATTCTTGAAATATAGTTTGAAATTAGAAAGTATAAATTATAAGTGCCCCTTTGCATTGTTGTTTTCCTTAGGATTGCTATGGCTATTTGAAGCTTATTGTAGTTTCTTGTAAATTTTAGAAATGTAGTTTTTATTGCTGTGAAAACAATGCCACTGGAATTTTGATAGGACGTTTGTTGAATATATAGATTACTTTAGAGAACATGGTACTTGAACAATATTTATTCTTTGCATAAATATGAAATATTTTAAAATGTATGTCTTCTCTAATTTCTTTTATTGATTGGTTTTTTTTGAGACAGAGTTTCACTCTTGTAGCCCAGACTGAAGTGCAGTGGTGCAATCTTGGCTTGCTGCAATCTCCACCTCCCAGGTTCAAGCCATTCTTCTGTCTCAGCCTCCTGGGTAGCTGGGATTACAGGCACCTGCTACCCCTCTAGCTAATTTTTTGTATTTTTAGTAGAGATGGGGTTTCACCATGTAGGCCAGGCTATTCTTAAACTCCTGACTTCAGACAATCCCCCTTTGCCGCCTCAACCTCCCAAAGTGCTGGGAGTACAGGGGTGAGCCACCTCACCCGGCCTCTTTTATTCATTTATATCTTTCATTGTAAAGATTTCTTGCCTCTTTGGTTAAATTGTTAGAAATTCACTATTTTAATTCTATTCTATTTTATAAGAGATTTGGTTTTTTAAAATAATCTATTTTCTAAATTATGTCGATGTTCAGTTTTTAACACTTTTTGAGAAGATCATCTTTATTGTGTGCTCATAGCAACTTTAGGAAAGATCATGTAATCATATACAGAAGGCTTTATTTCTGGGTCCTTTATTCTGTTCTTTCATTCTTTTATCTTCCTTTGTGCCAGTATCACACTGTTTTGGTTACTATAGCTTTTAATATGTTTTAAAATCAAAAGGTATAATGTCTCTTTTTTCTTCTTCATGGATGTTTTGCCAGATATAGTTTATAATCAAGTTTTAAAATGTTAAACAAGGCCGGGCGCAGTGGCTCACGCCAGTAATCCCAGCACTTTGGGAGGCCGAGGCGGGTGGATCACGAGGTCAAGAGATTGAGACCATCCTGGACAACAAGGTGAAACCTCGTCTCTACTAAAAATACAAAAATTAGCTGGGCATGGTGGTGCATGCCTGTAGTCCCAGCTACTCGGGAGGCTGAGGCGGGAGAACTGCCTGAACCCAGAAGGCGGAGGTTGCGGTGAGCCGAGATGTTGCCATTGCACTCCAGTCTGGGTAACAACAGCGAAACTCCGTCTCAAAAAAAATTAATTAAAAAAAAAATAAAATGTGAAACCATATTTCTGTAATAAAACTGTGGTATTGTGATTTATTTATCTATTTGCTTGTTTATTTTTGATGGAATTTTGTTCTTCATCCATGTTGGAGTGCATTGGTACAATCTTGGCTTACTGCAACCTTTGAGTTTTGGTTTCAAGCAATTCTCCTCCCTCAGACTCCTGAGTAGCTGGGATTACAGGTGCCTGACACCACACCCAGCTAATTTTTGTATTATTACTAATGACAATCTGGTCTCAAACTCCTGACCTCATGATCTGCCTGCCTCAGGCTCTCGAGGTGCTGGGATTATAGGCAGGAGCCACGGCATTCTGGCTATTGTGATTTTTATAGATGATATTTAAGTTGTTCACCACTGTAGGTTGTATTGACATTTTAACACAATTAAATTGTTTGATTCTTGAGCAAGTATATGATGAAGCGTGTGTTTCAGTTTTCTTTCTTTTTTAGGAGACAGCTTTTCTGTATTGCCCAGGGTAATTTATGTGTTTTTTTTTTTTTTTTTTTTTTTTTTTAGACGGAGTTTCCCTTTTGTTACCCAGGCTGAAGTGTAATGGTGCGGTCTCGGCTCATCACAACCTCTGCCTCCTGGGTTCAGGCAATTCTCCTGCCTCAGCCTCCTGAGTAGCTGGGATTACAGGCACGCGCCACCAGGCCCAGCTAATTTTTTGTATTTTTAGTAGAGACGGGGTTTCACCATGTTGACCAGGATGATCTCGATCTACTGGCTTCGTGATCCACCCGTCTTGGCCTCCCAAAGTGCTGGGATTACAGGCCTGAGCCACCGTGCCAGGCCTTTTTTTTTTTTTAATTATTTTGTTTTATTTTTTCCTTTTTTAACAAATTGTACTTTAAACTCTGGGGTACATGTGCACATCCTGCAGGGTTATTGCATAGGCACACACATGCCATGGTGGTTTGCAGTCTCCATTTCCCCTTTGTTTTTTTTTTTTTAGACGCAGTCTCGCTCTGTTACCCAGGTTGGAGTGTAGTGGTGCAATCTTGGATCACTCGACCTTCTGCCTTTTAAGTTGAAGCGATTATTTTGCCTCAGTTTTCCAAAAGTAGGTGGGACTACAGGCTTGCGCCACTACACCGAGCTAAGTTTTCTATTTTTAGTAGAGACAGGGCTTCGCCATATTGGCCAGGCTGGTTTCAAACTGCTGGCCTGCCTCAGTTTCTTAAAGTGATTACATTACAGGCTTGAGCCACTGCACCCAGCCTAGCCCAGGCTAATTTTAAACTCCTGGGCTCAAGCAATCCTCCTGCCAGCCTCCCAAAATGCCAGTATTACAGGTGTGAGCCACCACACTCACCCTGTGTGTTTTATTTTTATTTATTCTTAGATTTGCCACTTTTCTTTTGCTTTTAATTTTTAGTTTCATTTAGTTTTGGTAGGAAACACACAGTGTATGATTTTGGTCTTAAATTATTTGTTGTTGTTATTTTGAGAAAGGATCAAACTTGTCACCCAGGGTGCAGTATAGTGGCATAATTTTGGCTCACTAAAGCCTCAGCCTTCCTGATTCACACGATCTTTTTACCTAAGCCTCCCAAGTAGCTGAGACTACCGACATGCATAACCATGCCTTGCTGATTTTTTAATTATTGGTAGGGACAAGGTCTCACTGTTATTTAGGCTGGTCTCAAACTTCTGGCGCCAAGTAATTCCCTCACTTTCATCTTCCAAATTGTTATGATTATAGGTATTAGCCACTACCCCAGCTGGTATTCTTTAATAAGACTTGCTATATTTTGTAACAGAATACATCTAGTGCAATGAAGAATATTGCGTATTCGTTGGCTTTTGAGTGGAAAGTTTTGTATATGTCTGTGAAGCCTAGTTGGTCTATGGTATGGTTTGGAAGTCCGTGTTCTGCAAACCTGATGCTACAATGTAATCCTAAGTCAGTTTTGGATGTGGAACCTGGTGGGAAGTGTTTAGGTCATGGAGGCAAGTTCCTCATAAATGCCTTGGCAACATCTGTTTGATAATCAGAAAGTTTTCACTCCATTAATTAAAATGAGAGCAGGTTCATTAAAAGAACCTGGCTTCTTCACCTCACACTTTCTGTAATCCCATCACTTTAGTAGGCGGAGGTGGGTGGATCATGATGTCAGGGGTTTGGGACCAGCCTGACCAACATGGTGAAACCCCATCTCTACTAGAGATACAAAAAATAAGCCAATGTGGTGGCACACACCGGTGTAATTTTTTTTTAAGATGGGGTTTCACTGTGATGGCCAGGCTGTTCTTGACCTCCTGACCTCAGGTGATCCACCTACCTTGGCCTCCCAAAGTGCTAGGATTACAGGCGTGAGCCACCGTGCCTGTCCATACCTGTGTAATTCTAGCATCTCAAGAGGCTGAGGCAGGACAATTGCTTGAACCTAGGAGGTAGAGGTTGCCATGACCTGAGATCCCGCCATTGCACTCCAGCCTGGGTGACAAGGCGAGACCTCTTGTAAAAATTAAATGAAAAAAAAACCTCACTGTGTCAACTAGACTGATTTGCAGTGGAATGATCACAGCTCACTTTGGCCTCAACCTCCCAAACTCACATGATCTCATTCCAGCTTCTTGAGTAGCTGGGTTGCAAATATGTGTCATCAGGGTCTGGGCGCAGTAGCTCAGGCTCGTAACCCCAGCAATTTGGAAGGCTAAGGCAGGTGGATCACCCTGAGGTCAGATGTTCAAGACCAGCCAGGCCAAATGGTGAGACCTCGTCTCTACTAAAAATTCAAAAATTAGCCAGGCGTAGTGACGCGTGCCTGTCATCCCAGCTACTTGGAAGGATGGTAGAAAAATAGCTTGAACCCAGGAGGCAGAGGTTGCAGTGAGCTGAGATCATACCAGTGCACTCCAGCTTCAGTGACCAGAATGAGACTGCATCTCAAAAAAAAAGAAAAAAATAGTGT